CTGTGGGAAACAGAAGGATTTCTGGTAAGTCATTAGTGGATGGAGGTTCAGGACACTTGGAGTCTTCGCGTGGTCCCACACGCTCTATCGTCCGTTTCCCTGAATGACATGATGAGGCTGCTGGTTATAGGTTCGGCTGGTGGTTCCTCCTCCTTTGGACCGGGCGGGATCTCCATCCCTGGTGAAAGTAGAGCGGCAGAAGCGTGCCCAGTGATACCCCTTTTTGCATTTGGGACACAGAGACCTAGGAGGCTTGAGGGGAGTATCTGGGTTAGGGCAGTCCTTTGCAAAGTGTCCTGGCTGCTTGCATTTGTAGCACACAGCATTAGCTCTTTCTGCTTCCATGATCGCTTCTTTGATGGCTTGCACTCGCACTGGTTCTACTTCCAGCAATGCATCTGCGATTACTTTGGTGTCCTGTTTAACAGAGGTAATTTCCTTACAGGCTTGTATCATGGACATAGGTGTGGGGTTTACCAGGGAACGGAGGACAGGCTGGCAGTGTTGGTTTGCTTGTTCTATAGCCAATCGGATGAACAGGGCATCTTGGGCTTCTAAAGGTTTTACTTGCTTCGCTATAGCCTCCCTCAGTCTTGTAGCAAAGTCATAAAAAGGTTCAGTAGGCCCTTGTTGGATATGTGCAAAAGAGGGAGAAGTAGTGGTGGCTTCTGCGACAGCTTTGATGGCCTCCACAGCCAAGCTTTTCGTTTTATCTAGCCTTACAAATGGTATTCGTGCCTGCATCCTACTGGAGGTATAGGGGCCTTCACCATACAGTTCATTAATTAAGTCTGGGACAGGGACACGGAGAGCCTGGTGTGAATCCTCTGCATATTTCTTAATGAGTTTTTTCCACTCCTGTTCAAAGAGTGAGTGCTGCATGAGGTTTAACAGTCCTTTAGTGATTACTCGTATGTCATCTGGCGTAAGAGTGTATGCTGCAAAGAGTGAGTCTAGCATCCCAGAAACAAAAGGGGAATTCAGTCCATAGTCCGTGACTGCTTTCTTAGCATCCCGTAGGATGGGGTATGGAACCGGTTCCCACTGAGGTTCACGGTTGTTATCTCGGAAAACAGGGAAAACTTTCAATAATTCTAGGTCCCCTGCCTCCTCTGCCTGTTTCCGTGGACCTTCCCACTTGCTTTTTGTGGGAGGGGGATCCCCGCCTGTGTCGCTGTAGGCTGGGGTGTCTGTTGTTACAGGATTTCTAATCGCGGCAGGGGAGTCATGGGCGCCGCCATTTTCCCGGATGTTTACATCCGGGGAGTCCTTGCCGTCAGAGCTACGTCGGGTACGGCCCCGCCCCTTAGAGAAACGGAGGCTGCGCGGGCGGGGAGAGGAAGAAGGGGTGGAGCCGGGGCTAGAGTCATGTTGCACACTGACGTCCACCCGGGGTGGGGGCGTGGCCAGTCGTCCCGCGTGGCTCGTAGGGGGGGGGCAGCGCTCAGCGCCATCTTTGTAGCACGGTAGGCGGGGCTTGTTGTTCTTAGCGGGCTTTTTGAATGCCGGAGGGAGGGTTTCTTTTCCAATTTCTTTCTGTTTTTTCAAGTGAGGGAGAATAATTCTCCACGCTGTTAGGGAGTCCCCCGCCATTTTATCGCCCTTTTCAAAAGCTTGTACCAGGGTATTACCCAATTTGAACCATTCTCGATAGAGAAACAATTCAGGGGACAGAAGTTTACGCCTGGAAACCCATTTTGTGAGGGCTTTAATGGATACCTCTTCATAAGGATGGCCCTCTAAAATTACGATGGCTTTAATATGCTCATAGAATTGCTTTTCTGATCTAGACAGCTTATTTCCCATAATTATAAGGGGAGAAGGAAGGGGTTAAGGTGGATCACTCACGGGCAATTCTCGTAGAGACGTCCTCCAGTCGAGACGGCGGGAGCGGGCTTTTGCTGCGCGTTGCAGGTTGCGTGTCACGCGGCGGGGAAAGTTGCGGCTGCCGGTGGGGGGGGCGCGGTGCGGAGTTGCGGTCGCCGCGGGTTGTAACGGCGGCAGGCGGAAGCGGCGGATGCAGCAGGCGGCAGCGGCGCGTGAGCGCGGGCGGCGGTCAGGCAGGCAGGCGGCAGCTGCTTCCGCGGGGCCACGCGGGGCCGGGGCAGCTCGTCTCGTGCGCAGCGGCGGGCGTCTCTGCGGCGGGAGGCGTCTCCGTTACTGCTCGGGGCGGCCCCGGGATGGCGGCAGCGGTGGCGGGGCGCGGGGACCGTGGCGGGAGCGGCGGCGGCGGCGCGCGGCGCGCAGGCGGCAGGGGTCGGGGCCGGCCCGGTCGGGGCTCGGGGTGGCGTAGGTCCGGAAGCGGCGGCGGCGCCGGGTCTCGGCGCGCGGGCGGCGCGCGTGGCTGGCGCGGCGCCGAGCGGGGTGGGGGCGGCTGCTGCCGCGCGGCCGCGGCAGCTCGGCGCGAGCCCGGGGCCGGGGCTTCCCGGTCCGCTGGGCGTGGGCGGTAGCGGCCGCTGCGCCGGTGGAGCTGGGGGGGGTCCCGCGCGGCGCGGAACGTCCCCGGTCGGCGGGGGGGGGCCCGAGGCTCGGAGTTGCCGGCAGGGGCAAGCGGCCTGGGGCCGCCGCGGAGCCCGGGGGTGGGGCCGCACTGGGCAGGGGTGGCGTAGGGCTCACCGCAGCAGGCGGCGGTTGGTGTCTGCAGCTGCAGAGTCTCTCCGTTACCGGTGGACGCTTCGGAGTGGTGTTGGCTGTTCGCCGGGGCCGCAGGGTTTTGTGCCGGGGTACACGCAGCTTGCTTCACGCAGTTTAAGCGGCGAGAATAGGTGGACGAAGTCCACGGAAGACATCCGTGAGTGGGGCCGTTGGATATAGAGTTGGAGTCCGGACTTTCAATTCTATTAGTAGCTCCGGTGAAACAGAGATCAATCTTAATGTAAGATCAATGAGTTCTGATTCATACGGGGCACCATTTGATGAATGGGGGGGTTAAGCCCATACATCCGGCCCAGTGCACATCTTGCGTGGGAAAAAAGACACATACACGCAGGTTACATGTCCAGCAAAATGGCCGATTCCTTTATTACAAGGGTGCTTATATAGGGAAGGTATAGAAGGTTCTGGGACAAGGGTAGATTTGGTTTTGAACCCTCGAATCTCGAGGACTTCTGAT